CAGATAGCTAAGGTAATTCATGACCTTTTGAAAAATAAGCAAATTAAAGGTATTTCTCAGTATCCTTGAAACTTAAGTGTATCCGTAGAAACAAAATGCAAGTGATTATTCACATTGGTAAATAATATAGATATAACTGTGTTTATTTCATCAGTCAATACGACATTCAACCCATGCTCTGGACCTACTAATTTGAGATCCTCAGACAAGTCTAAGCTTCCCTGCAATTCCCAAGCAGCTCAGGAGGGACTCAAGACCACACAGTTGGAAGGTCTGCATCTCTAGAGGGTTACCACCTGATAAGATGTCTGCCTTCAAACTACTCCAAGATTAACATCTCCTCTGTTCTTACTTTTTGAGATAGAAATTGATACAACTCAGCCAAAAGTCAAATTTGAGATAAATGCAAAGTTGGGGGTGCAGTTCACAGACATGCCTTCAAAAGTGATTATATTAAAGGAATGTATATGTCAAAATATATATTAGGCCTAATATTTTCACTTTTGTCCTGATACTGAAATTTCAGGGAAGTCAAGAAGAAAAGACAAGGCACTTTGGGTAGACTATTCTCAAACCTCACCCGGATTGACTCCTCAGGAGCATTTAACAACGGTGATCACCCTCTCTTAACTGAAATACTATCTTCAGTTGGCTTCTAGGACTCAATTTCTTCGTCTCTTACTGACTCCCCCCCTTTTATAAAAATAAATTTCTTTATTTTCATTTTTATTTATTTTTGGCTGTGTTGGGTCTTCGTTGCTGCACAGGGGCTTTCTCTAGTTGTGGCGAGAGGGAGCTACTCTTCATTGTGGTATGCGGGCTTCTCATTGTGGTGGCTTCTCTTGTTGTGGAGCATGGGATCTAGGTGCGCAGACTTCAGTAGTTGTGGCACGTGGGCTCAGTAGTTGTGGCTCGCAGGCTCTAGAGTGCAGGCTCAGTAGTTGTGGCTCATGGGCTTAGCTGCTCCGCGGCATGTGGGATCTTCCCGGACCAGGGTTTGAACCCATGTCCCCTGCATTGTCAGGCGGATTCTTAACCACTGCGCCACCAGGGAAGCCCCTTCACCACTCTTTAACAACTTATTTTGCTGTTCCTACTCATAACCCAGCACACACTATCATGAGAGGAGGCAGTTCTCCTCTACTATCTGCTTACATTTACTCCCCCAGTGATCTCTTCCAGCCCTCTGGCTTTAAGAGGGCATCTCAAACTTAAACAAATCTGAGTCCTAATTTTCTTCTCAAACCTTTCTTCTACCTGAGTCTCTCCATCTCGGTTAATGGCAACTCCATCCTTTTTGCTCTGGCTAAATAGCTGATAGTCATACTTGGTTCTTCTCTTCTGCTTACATGCCTTATCCAACCCATCAACACTCTGTCATCTCATTCTTCAGAATATTTCTAAAATCCAGTCATCCTTAAAGATTTTGTTCCTCATCCCAGCTCATAAATATTCAATCACAAGTTCCATCTATTCTACTTTCTAAATACCTTTGAAATCTATGCATTTCCCTTCATTCTCTGTGACATGACCCAGCCTAATCCACCATGATTGACCACCTGAATTTCTGGTATGACTTCCTAACTTTTCTTCCCTTTATCCACACCTAGTTGTTATACCATATAGCAGCCAGTGATATGTTTTTTTCAAACATGTGTTTATTATCAGTACTGTACTTAAAATTCTCCTCATTGCTCTCAGGTTAATTAAAAATTATTTAACAAGACCTATAGAAGTCTATGTGGTCTGGACCTTCATGCCTTTCCAGACTGGTGCCCTTTTCCTCCTGAAAACCCACTGGGCTTCTTCCAGTTTTCCCTCCCATGTCCAAGTCCCTTCCTTAAACTTATATACCCATAATAATACCTTGATTCTCAGCTTACAATCTCATTTCTTTCAAAAAGCTTTTTGTTCAGAAGGTATATTTTTCCCTTTGGATTACTTTCTCAAAATCTGTCTTCTTGTCTGACTTTCAACATAATCATCTTTATATAGTCAGATCTTAGCGTAATTCCTAAGCACCCATTCAGTGAAATACTTTAAATGAATAAATTACAGAAATGACTAGCAAGAAACAACTACTTTTTCAGATGAGGTGGGTTTTTTTCCCCAGAAAAATAGGGATGATAATACTATCCATCTTACAAGTGTGTGTAAAGTAGCCATATAAAGACTTAGCACAACAGTAGTAATATCTGATGAATGTTACCTATTATTATTTACAGTTAAAGTAATCATCTTTAAACATTCTTAGGGTTATTTTAGAGATAATGACATTGCTTAAATATTTGAAAATGGGAGAAGACACAGTCACCAAGGAAAAAAACCCAGGAAGAGAAGACTTGGCCAAGAACTTAGATAATGCATATCTGCTCTGCTCATACTTTGAGGGACATGCAGAGAAAAAAGAATTAATGAAAAAAATAGGGAAAAGATAGCAGATAAAAGATAGGTAAATTCCATGCCACAGGCTACTGATTTCCCTTTGTAGTGACAAATCTTCTCTCTCTGATTATCAGATTGAATACTTAACATTAATAGAAGCCATTGTATCCAAATCTGTTTAAACAAGAAATCAAATTTCTTAAGAGTTTTACATCAAAATAATGTATGATGATAAGGAAATTACAGTGACTTTCCGTCTGTGATCAGGGAAGGCTTCTTGGAGGATATTCAACTTAAGCTGAATCCTAAGGGATTTAGGATAATCCGTACAGAATAAAACTGTGGAGGCAAGTGGGATTTTAGATGGTGAAACAGCATAAACGAGGGCTTTAGATACAAAATTCACTTTCGGAACAGAACGTAGACCAACTTTGTGGATATCACCAAAGATAAGTAGGAGATGATTTCAAAACAACACTTTGAAGTCCAGGTAGGAAGAAGATCAGATGCCAGGGTAAAATGTTTAAATTTTATGCTATAGAAAGTAATGCCTTGTCAGCTGAACATTCATATAATGAAAGTGATATTTTGGTGAAATTGATATAGTAATGCTGTCCACAGTGTGTAGAAGGGGAGGTATCAGGTAAGAGGTAGATTCCATGGTTTGGGGAAGAGATTACGTTATAAAAGGTTAAACTGGAGAGAGAGGAGTGAGAATGAAAAACAGCATTGTGAAATTACAAAATAAAAGGTGAATAAGGAAAGCATATATATATATATTATATATATATATATATATAAAAAAAATATATATATATATACACACATACACACACACACAGAGGGAGAGAGAGAGAGAAAGAGAAAGAGAGGGCGAGGGAGAGAGACCAGAGGGTAAAAGAGGTGGCAGAGATGATTCTTATGCTTCCAGCTTGAACAATTTGGAGGAAAATAATGACATTTATACAAACACGTGGGTGTGATATTTTGTCACTGCCATTAAACTGAATTGCCAAGACGCAGCTTCAAAAGACTACTGATTATCCCCTGGGAATGGTGTCTCTGCTCATCACTTAGCTATCAAGAGCTGATGTTGGCAGCTTCTTGGTAGGAAAACAGGCAAATCAGAAAAGTGAGAGGGATAAGTCAGAAGTACAAGCTTAGTATATCTGAACAAATCATAGTAATTATCAGTATCATATTGAAATGGAATAGTTCTGCTTAAAATTTTACCATGATTTTTAACAAATGTAGAGCTTTTTTCCACTTTGTTTGTACAACATGCATTTATTGAATCCTTACACTGTGCAAGGCATAGTGAGGGGCAGGCAAAATGTCAATCTTATCTAAGTAACCCAAAGCCCTTTCAGAGGTCAGAAAAGGGGAAAAAATCTACAAGTAAACCTCACAAGGTAGATGCTATTTGAATGTAGTCTTAAGGACATAAAAGGTTGTGAAAGACTTAGGTGAGAAGGAGTGATTTTCAGCTAGACTGGGATGGTATGGGAAAATATTCATCCGTAACAAAATATAAGAAATTGGAGGAGCAGTGTCTACCTTAGTGGGGATACAGGGCACACGGAGAGGAGAAAAATGTATAGGTTTGGACCATATTGTATAGGTCATGAATGCCAAGATCAGGGCTTTGAGTTTTTTAAGTAGGGAATGAGGAGATACTGAAGGTGTTCAGTTCTGATTAAAATAATAAGGCAGCACTCTGCACCAGGCACACACTGGCCCTGCTATCAGTGGAAACTCACCCAATGACTGAAGGCCTAAAGGAGTTAACTTGCGATATTTACCTTTATGGGGGATATAAAGTTCAACAAATTGCAGATGACACCATTAAAGAATGAACAGCATAGTTGAAGGAGGAAACGGGCAACATATATTCTCATATCCCCACAACACAAGATAGGATTTATGAAACAGATTATACTAGATGTTCAGAAACCACTACAAGATCTTGGTAATACCCACTACTCATTGATACCGTCCATGAGGCAGGCACTATACTAGATTCATGACATGTTATCGTGCCACCTCCCTGCTCAGAACACTTCAGTGTCTTCCCATTGCTTCTAGTAGAAAGATAAGAACCCCTTACCAAAGCACATAAGCCCCCCAAGACTTGGCCTCGACCTCCTCTCCCAACCTGGTCACAGGAACTTTTTTCTCACACCCTGCACCCCTGCCATGCAGGTACGAGGCTCTTCAAACACAACCAATTCTTTCTTGCCTCAGGGATTCTGCATTTGTTTATTCTGCCAGAAATGGTCTTCCCCAGATTCTTAGAGAACCTGCTTCTTCTCATCGTTCAAGTGTAAATATAAAATAGTACTAGTTATAGTATTAGTATAATACTAAGACTACACAGAAAGTATATAGTATTTTCCCCAAATATAGAAAGCACCTGGCACATAACATACCCCAAAATATTTGTGGAATCAATGATTTTATGGATCATCTCACTTTAATTCTTGCAACCACTCAGTCAAGAATGGCCAAGCTTCAAGATAAAAAAGCAGAGCTTGAAAATATGAAAGTAACTCACCCCAGGTCAGCAACATCATAAGTGTTAGAGCACAGATTGGAAAACTATTCTAAAATCTTACCAGTACGCCACACCATCTTCCTGTATGAAGAAGCAGAAATTGATTCCTTCGAGGAAGTTGCAGCATTTCATCTGGAACTTTGATGGAGGACCTGAAAGGATGATCAAAGAAATACAAAGCAGATGTAATCTGGATCCCTGAGTAGCTGAAATCGCTAAAGAAAGAAAATATCAGTGAGCAAATAGTGGTCTTTGATGATTCTTTTCAAAATAAAGTTTTTTTCTTTTGTTCTTTTCCTACAATAATAATACTGAAATAGTTTGATATTACTTATCTCATTTAGTCCTTAAAACACTCTAAGACAGATGTTATTATTATCCTCTCTTATACCATAGAAATCAAAAATTGAAGGAAACTGTAGAACTTGCTTTACTCATATGAATAGCAAGTAAGTAGCAGAGGAGAGATTTGATTGAAGGTCTACCTGCCTATCTTTTAACTTCAATTCAATAAACATAAATTGTTATTTATAGTCTTTTACCAGACCCCCAAATTCTGGCATTTTTATAGTCTCCCACATTTTACCAAGAGACATTATAATTCTATTCAACAAATATTTACTGACTGCCTTTTATGTGGCAGATAATTGGCTAAGTGCCAAGAAATAAAATGATAAATAAGACAGATATAGCACCTGCCTTTGGTGAGCTTTGAATTTTAAGATTCAAATCTCTTTCGCGCTTCATGAATATTTCCAGTTTAAGTAAAACAACTTGGATGTGAAATTTTCTGCTTCTCAAAATATATCCTGGAATATGGGTAGAATTGGACAAGTATCTCCACAAGGTTGGGGCATTTTACAGATTTGCAGGTGAATGGTGTGTTCAATATAATAGATCTCTATTACAGCTTGCTAAGAATAGTTACATGTGGTAGTGCTCAAGGGACAAGAATATATATACACACACACACACGTATATATGTATATTCCATGGGAGGCATGGTGGTCTGTGAAAGGGGGTGTTATTTGGTCCATTTTGGCAAACAAAAAGAAATACAAATTAGGATGAAAAGCAGCATTATGGGAAACAACACGGGGAGGTATGGAGAATGGGAATGGATTGGTGAAAGCCAACCTAGTAAATTCTAATTATTGCTCTGCCTATGAAAAGTACATTTTACATATTAAGGTCAAAGTACTAGAAAGAAATCAAGGATGGGAGGGAAAAGAAATCTAAAATCATAAAATTTCTTGTTTGCCTTTCACTTTGCCATTTTTTGTAATCTCAAAATAAGGCTTGACCTCTTCTCTGTCAATGCCAACACTTTCAACCTAGGAAATGTAATTAAACTGAACATGTGTTCTGCATTCCAGAAAATGAATATGTGACCTCTCTGTTGTTTAGATTAGATTAGATTAGATCAGATTAATTTTGTGTTTAGAAAAAAAATTCAAATCATATGTGTATCTACCATCTGTTTAAACCACGCGTTCTTTGATTAAACTAACGCAATGAAATTTGTTTCCACAGATTAACATTGACTTCAGTACCAGGGACCTCATCTCAAAGAATATTGCAGAACCAACTCTCAAATGTTTTGATGAGGCTCAGCAGGTGATCTACAGTCTGATGACCAAGGATTCTTTTCCTCGATTTCTAAAGTCAGAGATTTATAAGAAACTGGCAAATAGCAAACAGGTTGGAAATCATAAAAAATGGCTCCCTTTCTTGTAAAGAAGGTAAATGACAAACTAACCATCAGATTATAATTAGGGGGAAAACAAGTGATAGGACAGATCAACTCAATCACTATACTTCAAGGCTAGAATGTTTTAAATATACAAACACAATGTAAGTTTTTCTAGGGTTTAGAATTCATGTTTTACTCCAATAGAAAAATAATATTTTATATCTGAAGCCTGAATGTTTAAGTCATTTGTTTAGAATGTGTTTATTTTATCAGGTACTTAAAAATCTCTTACTGGGAGAGTACAAAGGAAGTTTATAGACATATAATACACTCAAACCATAAATGGATATTCTTATGACATTATAAATTCAAGAAACTATATATCTTCATGTTGCTGCATGGGAGACTGTTTAGCATCATATAGATGATTTTAAATACCATTTGCATTAGTCAAAACCTCACTTCTGTAAAAAGAGAAATTCTAAACCAAAACATAACCCTTCATTTAGTGTATCAACGATTCCTTTTCAACCAGGATCTGATAATGTGGTGGTTATCTAAACTGGTATAGCCCTCAGATTAATGAAAAAGAAAAATGACATATATATATATATATGCCATTGATCAAACTGTCAAAATAGATCACTTGGTTTAATTCAATGACACACATAGGCATGTATGAAAAGGACCTTGAGGGTTGGGAGGATTGGTTTTCTTAGATCAATACAAATATAAAGGAACGAGAAGGAATAAGGAACATGGTTAAGTCCTTATTTGATGAACTGCACAGCAGTGACTATCCCATAAAATAAAAAATTACTGCAATATTATCTACTCAAATAACTGTGGAGTTAAGTATCTATTCACTCCTTCAGCACTGGAACTTGTTTATAAAACTCAAAGAGATTTTTTTAAATGCAGTTATTTTGAGATGTTCCTAAAATTGCCCTCTTTCTACATGTAAATGTCCCATGATAATTACGAATAATTTCACGTCCATATGAAAAGCTATAAAGATTCAACAGATCTTCCATGTTTCCATTTTATTTTCACAGATTTATTTAACTTTGTTGATATCTGTATTTTGCAGATTATTTGAACACTAGAAAATGCAGGAAAAATAGCAGGATTTATTCTCTGTTTCTACAAACCATTCGATAGACAAAATTTTGTCTCCCCTTTGTCTTGAAAAATAAACATTTAAACACATCATGCAAACGGAACATTCCCTGGACACTTGCAAATTCTTTAAAGGAAGACATTATGCACATTGATTGTGAATATTCAGTCCCCCTTAAGGCGCACTTAATGGAAAAAAAGCTATATATACCCTTTTCAACATTTCTTTTGAAGGTTCCAACCTTAATTTAGTCTCTACTTAAATAGGAAATTTAAAAAATTATTCCTAGAGATGAAAAAAAAAACTTTAAAAGACAAAAGGGACCTTAGAAATTAAAATCACATCCCCTCCTTTTAGACGTAAAACCCTGAGATCTCGGTTATTTCTTAAGGGCACGTGCTGATAAGAGGCAGAGCTGGTAGGAACAGTGCTTTTCCCACGGGGCCACAGCCAGCACCTTGTTCTCACAGCAGCAGAGGAACCTCCTCCCCATTAGAACTGCCGCGGCCTGAGAATCTACTATCCTACTCATCCTCAAACACCGCACTGTTCCTTTCATTGAATATGCAAATTGACCTTTTACCATCAGTTTGCAAATTCCTTCTTGTTGTCATACAGCAAGACTTCCTGTTCAGAGACTGCCTCTCAGGTTTTCTCTAAGAATGCACAGTCAGTCACAAATCAAACTTTCACCACCTAGAAGCAGATGATTGGCAGTGGGTAAAAATACAGTGGGTGTCAAAATGATCTGTTAAAAAATTGGATGTTGAATGACCTCTAAGAGATCCCAACCAGAGACCCTCACCTGCAATCCTTCCTTCTCACCTCCTGAACTCATTCCCCATCCCAGGCTATAATTATAGATGTTCTGACTTAATAGAACAGAAAAGAAAACAATTGCAAGTTTTGGGAATAAAATCAATTTCAGGTTTTTGAACACTTGGTAGTGAGGAATTTTGGTAAAACATCAGATGTATATCTTTCATATGTTGTGCTCTGTATGTCTCTTTCACTCCATATGTTACTTTATTCATCAGTTATCACTGATGAGTGATTTTTATGGATGGGATTTTTAAATAAAAGATTAACTGGCAAAAAAAATGAATAACAACATTAACACTCCTGGTAACATACTTAAATATTCATTAATGGTGTAATGCCATTTTCTAAAAATATTTACATCGGTTTTAAGAAATGAAGTACTTATATTAAAAACTAAGCTAAGCAGTAAGTAGTAATAAAATTACAAGATAGTGACATAGATAATGATCTTCAAATTATAAGAAGAGTTCTCCCAAGCACAGTGTTTTCTATTTCCTGACAGAAACAGAATATTCCTACAAAATATATTTTAAAGCAATTTATGTTTGCCCTCCATTAGATGAGACCTAAAGAAATCAAATGATATACATATTCCAAAAAGAATTTTAGCTTCTTTAACAATTCAATGTGGAGCTACAATCCATGAATTTATCTAAAATCCTTTTGCATTTATTTAAATATCAAATAGTGAAAATTCATCAGTAACGAGTACTGATTCCTATAAGTTTATGCAAATACCTTGCATAGGAAGCATATATTTCAGCCTCAAAATATAATCAACAGATTTTTTTTTTACTAATACTATATTATAAAAATCTAAAACCTTTAGGGCATTACAAACATGAGCTAGTGTCAAACTTTATTTTCCCAAACTTTTTTTTAGTCTGTGTTTATATAGAATTCATTCTATTCGCCTTCATTGTTTTACTTTTTTCTAGAGTTTTCTAATTTTGTGTGATGTAGTAACTATGTGTATCCATAATTTTCCTGATGAGAGTACATGCTGATATAACAAAAGCAAAAAAAAAAAGTGTTTTTCTGTTTCCTTTCTAATATCCTTTCTAATAAGCTTAGTATCATCTTGGCTTTTAAACAAATAGTAGCATTCTGGCCCATAACTTTGAAGAATAGTCTGGATTTATTTTCCAATATTTCAAGAAAAGGTCAAATCCATTATCCAGGACTTGAAGTTTAGATTAAATGGATCTTCCTTTCATTTAAATGGAAGCTGATCAGCCAATCTTCCAAATCCTACAAGCCATGTCCTAAGTTAAGTAATCAATACGATCATTGTTAGATAACTAAAGAGATCCATTTAAAAAAAAAAAAAGAAAATGATCTTTAAAAACAAAAACAATTTGGTCTCATACATTTATTTCCGGTGCAAAAATTCCATTTCTAACCTTCACCCACAAAATCCCTATATCAGTTTCACCCAATTATATCTAATGTGGGCCTGATTTGCTTCCCAACTACACAGTCTTGTAATTTATTTCATGGTGATGCCAATTAATTTAAAGTGAACTCTTCACAACTATGTGAAAAAGGTGGGATGTTGTCACAGCAGTAGTCAATTATTATATGAATAAAGAGTCACTTGCCCTGTGTTTCCCTTATTGTTTTGTCAGATTTGCCATTGCATTTTAATGGGAGAGCATGGGGAATGAATATTAAAGGAAAACTATTTACTTTAGCTATGCCATTTCAGAGGAACTTAATATGTTTTATTACAATTACTATTTATAGTGTGCATTTGAATGTAAAATATATATGCAAAATTAATTATAATCATAATTGAATAGATATTAGTGTGTTTCCAAGTATAACAAACAGAAGGTGGGAAAATAACATTTTTTAAATGACCTAATTTCTTTAAGAAACCACATCATTTTTTTTCTCATTTCATTTAAGATACAAAAATTGGATTGGATGCCTACTAGAGGAAAAAAAAAACCCAATGAAGTTTAACTGGGTTATTGTTTAGCCATTGAATATTTATGCCTTGTGTTGTATCCAGATTAAAGTCAGCAATGAATATTTCTGAAAAACAGAAATCTGTCTTGTTAAATTCACATTTTTTCCTGGGGTGATGATTGTTTAACTATTCCTGGATATCTCACATAAAACATCATTTCATCAACTTATATTTTTACAAATAAGAATTTTGAAGTGGTTAATTTTTTTTAAAATATGGTGTGGTTTCCTTATTCTGATACTTTTATTCATTATGTGCATTGGGGAAAATAAGTTGTAAATTAATTTTGTGAATGCTGATGGCTTAGATATAAAATATAATAAATATCTGGTTCTTTTTAAAAACTAATAAGAAAAAATTAAAATTTTCATAATGTAGGTATATTAAATATTCTTGTATTTGCTTCATATATTTTAATTAAAATATCTTACTTTAAAAGTTTCAGTTTTAGGTCTTTAAAAAGTAAATATTTTTGTGAATAATGCCTTTGAATTATTGTTTTTGTTCTTCTCTCCAAATATGTCATGTTTACCACAAAGGCATAATCATGAATCAAAATCATAAGACTGGTTTTCCTTACTTCTTATAAACAGAAAAGACAGAGGAAATTCCTATTATGTATTAGAAAAAATATATTTTGAAATTAATTATTCAAAGCAGTATTTGTTAAAGGTCTGAACATGAATCTTTTATGGGATCATACCAAAATCCATTATTAAAAACCGAGAGCACTTTGAGGGAGATTTAAATGTTGAATTTATGATTGAGCTATTAAAAATTTGCTTTTAAAGCATGTTTATTGTAGAACAACTCTATAGATTCCTTTATAGGATTTTCTTTTTTTGCTAGAAGCAGTCTTTTAAAATGAGTAAACAAGCCCCAACACTAAAAGATTAAAGATGGATTGGAAACTTCAAACAATGAGCCCTCACTGTGTTTTAAGCCAGATAAAAGCCATTTTCCCAAATGTAGTTTTTATATTAAGTGGTAGAAACCAATGAAGAGTGAAAAGTATCATTACATAATGGCTTGAAGTAAATTTAGAACTTCATTGAGAAATCTAAAGTTACATGAATATACTAACATATACATAGATCCTCTTAAGGTACTCTGTTTCTATCTTTTGA